TGGGAGTACTGGGCAGCTGTTTCGTCAGCCTACTTTGGGACTCTTCATCCGTATGCACCCACACTGCGGGGTTTGAGCCCAGAACCTTCTGGTTGAAAGGCCAGCGAGCTCGTAGACCACTGGGGCACCCTATCCAATCGCCAGCCAGTCCATAAATTCCAACGTCTGCCAATTCACGACATAGCGCGACTATTTCGCATAGGCTTCTTATATGAGTTATTGCCTCATATTCAACCTGCTGCAACCTACTGGTCATGGCTTTCTACCAGAACCCCAGGTTAACTGTCTGAATAGGCCCAGTCACCAGTGAGCATCAGATTAATTTTCAAGTATTGGTTTTGTATGTATTTATATTGATGAAAGAACATGTTTCTTATCTTCCTCTGTTACACAAAAACGAAGCTAATATTAACTGTATCAGATAATTATCAAGGAAGTTAAAAAAAAACACAATTCACATTCAAACTATTTTCGTAAGGTATAAAATGAATATAAAAGGAAATGTACTCAATCACATTATTTTTAACAGATGGCTAAATGTTACGGTGCTAAATTAAATCCTTATGTCCTAAGACATCTGATATCGTCTGTTTCTTTTGTGATATAAAATACGTATAATTTATTCTGACGTATAAAATATTTGCAGAAAAGATTGAAATAAAATATTACTGAACAATCATTATCTGCATTTCTATATGGCTGGTAATAAGCTACATTATATTGTCTGGAGGCTGTTTATCTTATCATACCGCCGTACTTAGGCAAAGGTTTGAAAATATGACCCCGGTGTTGTGAGGCGAGCTGCTATATCAATGAACTACAAGTTCCGAGACTATTGTTTTTTTTCGATTATGCATTTTTGTAGTGATTCGAATTAATTTCAATATGAATTCCGTCATGAACCAACATCAGTTAGAGAGATCATTAAAGGCTAGCTGGGAGTACTAGACAGTTGTTTCGTCCCCTTCTAGTGCTCTTCAACAGTGCACGCCCGCGACTCCATTGCCAAGGATCGAATTCGGACCCATCTAGTTACCAGATTAAGCTGGTTGACCATCCAAAAAACTTGGACTGCAATTCGGTCCTCCCTGGTTTTCAGTGATCTCTAACTGACCCGACCGAAAGCTGCTACCTTGACGTGGTGGTCGGGCTTGGACACCGCAATGATCCATTCAAGCTATACTGGCTGAGGCTTATGTCTCTTGAGGTCCTACCATGCCAGGCAGGTTGTTTGGATAGCGGTTAAACAAAAAGCAGCTACCCAATCCAACATCATGATAAATACAAAATCACAAAATTTCATGCCGGATCGGCCGTGGCCCGGATAAACAACGACAACGACCGATCTCTAACTGATGTTGGATCGTGTGGAAGTTTACATCGAAATTTATTCCTTGCGTTCCAAGTGGAACAAAAAGGCTTGCCCAGTGGCAAATCTCTATTGCACTCTGTTTTCTGTAATTGCTTTCAGTTGTCTCCACAGCCGCCTACAACCTTCCGTTTCCTCTTCACATTATCTCGTGTATACTACGCTCGTATCTATACTTAACCAGTTGCTTTTCATTTGGGTTTCACTCGGAGACCCACTGAGTGTGTGATGTCGCTTGAAGTTTTCCTCAGGATATGTCTAATCCATCCCGGTTTCTTTGTGTATATTTATTTGTTGGGCATTAGGTTCTTGTGCGCATGCCAAGAGTTCTCTGTTGCTTTGAAGGGATTATTGGTTATCTAGCCAATGTCACTTCATGATGAAATTCTGTAACTAATCAAATCCCTACAAACTAATACTTGAATACCAATGAGATGCTCACTGGCAGGTAGGTAGTTGCCTGGGGTTCCAGTGAGACGTCGTGACCAGTAGGGTGCAACAGGTCGGGTGTGAGGACAAATACTCGCCGAAGACATTGGCTAGCGGTTGCGCTATTTCGTGAATTCGCAGAAGTTAGAATTCTCGGGCCATTGGATTGGTGGGTCCCAGTGGCTTAATGGTCTACGAGTTCGCTAGCCTTGTAACCAGAAGGTTCTGGGCTCGAACCCCGCAGTGTGGGTGCGTACTGATGAAGAACCCCAAACTAGGCTTACGAAACAGCTGCCCAGTACTCTCAGCTAGTTTTCCAATGGTTCTCTAACCAATGTCAGTTCATGATGAAATCCTGTAACCAATCAACCAAATCCCTACAAATCAATACTTGAACATTTTAGAATTGTTTCACGTCCCCGATTCATTATAAAATCTTAAATGGAATTATTTTTGGAGTAATAGATACACTACTGGTTCAGTTTATTTCTGTTCTTTCAATATAAGCTCATATTTTGACGGGGACCACCAATCGAATTCGATTCAGTGCTAATTACATTGATCTTTTTTCTGGCATCTTCTTACTACTTGATACATTTGGGTAGTTAAACTCAATACAAGTCTGCAGGATAAAATCATTTTACTGTGGAAATGAACTGTGTGCGATGTAATTATGAATAATTGTAAGTGTTAAGAGGTGTAATATGGTTAGGGATATTGCGGTTGGTCGTAGAGTGCTTAGCCAAGGAAGAGAAGTTAATCGCTGAGATTGTGAAGCTGCATTGTTTGTTATGACTAGGACACGTGTGTTGCACATGCCGAGCTACCCCTTTGCTCAATGAGCAATATTAGCTGGAATGGGATTAGGGTGGAAGAGAGTGAGCGGTGATCAAGTCAAAACCTGATATCATTCCATGAAGTCTCTGATTGTTGTTTTGAGCCACGTAGTGAGGCTTAGATTGCTTGGTGAGAAGTCCTCGAGATACTAAGAATCAGTAGCTGCGAATTGTTGGTAATATTACCCAGAGTTGTTCTCACTGGTGTAGATTCATGCTCTCTTTGTAATCTCCTGTATTTAATAAACCCTCATGTTTTCCCATGTTACTAATTTTTTCCTCTCTTTTGTGTACCTTTGTGTGCTACATGGACTGTGATAACATGAACTTCTGCACTTCTGTGCAGAGTTCTTTGCTCAAGTTCAGTCAGTCAGTTATGGAAGATGTTGTATACCCTGATTTTTCTTCCCGACATTAGCCTGTAACTGCAAAATAACTAATTTGCATTGGTTCAATCAACATTATCCTTTTCTGAATTAATTAGCAAAGCCCTAAATTTTTTAGAGTTATTGGTGTCTTTAGATCAAGCAGTCTTTCATTTTCAACTTCTATTGCTCCTGTCGTGTTGACTTGTGTACCGTAGTGATTATTTAACCAGGCGTGATGTCCACGTTGCAAACTTGATTGACAGAAAACTCAGTCAGCATTTACACTTAACGACTAGATAAATGACATTGGTTATTCAAGTGTTGGTTTGTAGGGATTTGATTGGTTACATGATTTCATCATGAGCTGACATTGGTTAAAGAACCATTGGAAAACTAACTGGGAGTACTGGACAGCTGTTTCGTCCTAGTTGGTTGTTTCCTAGCGATTAAACTGGTATCTGCATTAAAGTATGACAGTAAGTAGGTGGGACATGAACCCGAATAGCTCAATGTTAAAGTCTTTCACTGTGGAGATTGTTGGTTATATACAACGCGATATTATTTCCTTTAGACTTGTAATTTGCAAATTAATACATGAATAACATAGTTCGGTTCGTCAGTGGTACAGCGGTAGAGAGCTCGGCGACCACGCACGTGGTCCAGAGTCCGATTCCCGGCCGACTCATTCCTTTACCTGTCTAAGCCATTGATAAGACTGGTAAAGAGAGGAGGTTGAGCTTGATGCTAGCAACCCCATCCCGTAAAAGTAAATAAACACCACTGTTACCAAAACTTCTAGTCCTATGCTTCACTAGAAACCTAAAGGAATAGGAAAATGTTAAAAAATAACATATTTCGAGGTTACGGTTTCACCACAGTTCCCTTTAGAAACCGAGATTATTCAGATCACCATGAGTAGAGTAATCAAGAAACCAAGCGTAAATGCACAAAAGTACATACTAGTGATTGATTGAAGTGAGTATTTGTCTACTACTCACATCAACCAGTAGTGTTTGTTGGGGGAAAGATTATCGAAGAGTTCTGCACACACACACACCGGCCGGCAGTTTTAACCGTTCATGCTTGGCCGAGCTTATCAGTTATGTAGCTGGTTTGAACTGTTTGGGCCTTCTGAACTGAGTCAAACCGGATACATACCTCTGGTGAACTCGATCCTAAACGAACGAAAATGTCGTCCGGTGTGTGTAGATCACTTCGATAATCTTACCCCAGCAAACACTACTGCTTGATGCGAGTAGTATACAAATACTCATCTCAAGGAATTAGCAGTATATAGTTGAATAAGTAATACACGCATTAGTGGAAAAACAACAAGTATGGAGGCTAGTTTTACGGCTTCTAATTGGCCACCTCCAACCATGTAACGTCGATTTCAGAATGCACCAGCATGGTAAGTTAATGTATTACAAACCTGACTTATACAATTCAATCTCACTAAGACATACGACGTTTGGTTACTCATTAATGTGATCGGCCAATCGATACTCACTGGGAAAAAGTGTTCTTGGCAAAGTTAAAGAGTAGAGATCTATGCAGTGCGAACGCGTGACTGACCTGGGAGCAACCAGTCAGAATACTAGTGCTTTTTGCATAAACATGCCGTTTATTTACTAGAAAATTACAGGTAATATAAATATAATACCCTTGCCGTCATCGCAACCCTAACGAGCCATCAACTCACTATCCAAGTATTACTTAAAAACGAGATTAGGGTGAAATTTGCACGTCAGTTAGTGCACGGCGTTCATAGTGCCACCACTACAATGATGGTTGAGATCTTTGTCCAATTAGTAGTATGCTTTCAAGGTCGTTGGTGCGTTTGCACCCATTGGACTGGTATTCTTTAATTTGGCCCGTTTTTGTTTTCGACCTTTGTATATTTCAGTTGTTTTTCTGCAATAATTACCTGTTAAATCTTGTATTAACTCTTACTTTTTTTTTCTCTCTCTCTCTCTGTATGGTGTTTCCGTCTTTCAGATTTATTTTCAATGTGATGTTCATTACTTTGTGTTTTCTATTCAAATCAACCGATCAATCAATAAATCAATCAATCAACAATCAAAGCGAAATGGCGTGTCAAATCAGTTTATTATTTATGTATAATATTATCATATTAACAGCCCCAAGTGTGAATGCATTTAATTTTCTTTTGTTTTTGCTTGTTTTTTAAGAAAAAACTTTATTTTGCTCCTCTAACATCAAATGCTTAATTGTAATTATACATATAATTATCGTAATTAACAATAATAATACTAATATTCACTTCCTTTCATTTATTTATTGATTTATTTATTCATTGAATTACTTTGTAATTGTTTATTTTCTATCTTTTACCATTACTCCTCCTCCTCCTTTTCCTTCTCAAACTACTGCTCCGTTTTTTTGAAAAAATGTTTTTTTCTATTATCATTGAGTTAGTTGATTTAGTCAGTTAGTTAGTTTAGTTAACCGTCGTCGTCCCCTTGTTTCCTACCATTCGGTGGAAGAATATACGAGGCGTGAACTGCCTTCTTCTTCATCACCATCATCATCGTCTTCTCCTGATTGTTTACTTTTTATACTATTATATCACACTATTATTAATACTGGTACTACTACTAATATCACTACTAATATTATTATTTATTTGTTCCGTTTTATTTTTTGCCAAAGAGAGATAGATACAAAGCCACCAGTCCATCCACAACTGTTTTTTTCTTTTCATCTGTGTGTGTGTGTGCGTGCGTATGTGATTTTCTGAGATCTTATTACCCAATCATCAATATACGTGTGCCCAATATATGTGCTCAACGAATTTTACTTCTACACTTTTCTTTCTTGTGTTTCTTTACTCTTCCGTGTGTCTCCACCTTTCTCCCCCCACCCCGCCCTTTTGTTTTTCTTTTGGTGTGAAGTGTATTCATATATTTAATTTATACTACTAATCATTGAATTCTCACCATTTTATATCTTATCGTCGAAGAAGCGCGTGTATCATCATCATCTCTAGGCTACATTGGTGACACTCAGTCTCTCTCTCTCCGTGTCTCTTCGGCTTCTGTCTTTATCTGTTTGCTTTGTGGAAATGTGTATATGATGTGATGTGATGTGACGAGATTGGTTGGCTGACTGACTAACTAACCTGGTTGCATGGTATTATTTTATACATTAATTTAATTCTTACAGCTTTATTTATATATTTATATTTATTTATATTTGAGTATTTACATTTTTCACTTGTATTTGCTTGTTTTTTTGGTGTGTTCTGTTTGTGTGTGTGTCAGGGTAATGTGTCATTAATAGTTACATGGTAGTATATTTACTCTTTTCATAGATGATGATGATGGTTGGCTGTGATGCATACAATATATATATATATATATATATATAATTCATGAATATGAGTATTTATTATGACTGATGTAACTTCTGACTATGTCTGACTGGCATTCTCACTTAGTACTCTTTTGAATCTGAAGAAACAACTCTGCATATACATTCTTTCTAGTCAGCTTTTACCTCAGTCTTATTTGCCTGCACAATGCATGACTGATTAAAAGCCCTAACGAAATGTGTAATATCTCCAAATACATGTATATCTTCTTCATTCATAGATCTCATATTATATATATATATTATTGTAAAATCTCTCTCTCTCTCTCTCTCTCTCTCTATATATATATATATATATATATATATATATATCCATATTGTGCAATCTTCATCCAATGTAACCTATATATCCTATCCTGTTCTAGTCTGTCCTTATTTTATTTACCAACTATTTATTTACTTATTTATACACAGAATCTCATTTCGCCTGTTGTGTTTGTTTTAAATTTTCTTTTTTGATTTCCTTTTTGTTTTCCCCACCTACCTACGAACTCATCGCCCCACCTCACTTCGCCGCGCCCCGCCCCATCTCGCCACACCACCTTGTTGTAAACATTTAATAATCGCTGTTTCCATCGTGTTATAATTATAATTATTATTTCCTTTCTCTTTGAGTTTTCGATGCTAATTACCTTATGCATTCATTCATTACCTTACTATCCTGTCCATTTTATTGAGTATTTCACAATAACCCTCCTCCCCACGACTCACACACACACTCCCTATCCCAATGAAAAGTTAGTTTCGTTTCTCTAACCTCTCCACTCCTTCCCCTCTCTCTCTCTCTCTTCCTTGCTAGATAATATTTCCATTTTTCTCTAATAGATCTTCTTATGTTTGTTTCAGCAGTTTGTGTATTCGTCTACTTACATATGTGCGTGCGTGTGTGTGTGTGCGTGCGCGCATGTGAGAGTGGTTGAATAAGAGAATAACTGAGTGCAATTTGCATACGTTCGCACACACACACACACACCACACACTCATAGAAATCAAATGCTTATTGAATTCCTAATTCCTACAAAAAATTCCTTTTTTTATATTGTATAACCTTCCATGAAATGAAGATTAATAAGGATGTTGATGGTGATGATGATAATAATGACAATGAAATACCAATTTATGCTTTTCTATTGACACGGAACAATAATAATAATAACAATAATAATGCACTGATGATAAGGTTGTTACTATTGTTAATGATTACACTTCATATCATTTGTTTATTTTAAAATATAAAAAAAATACAAAAATCAATATATATTCGTATTATTCATACATACATATACATGCTACACCTTGTATATTTATACTTTATTAATCATTTATTTTTCTATTTATCTATCTATCTCTCTAGTCTTTGTTGTTCAAAGGATGTGTAAAGTATGGCAGCCTTCCGTATGCATATGTCTCTTTTTCTGTGTCTGTGTGCGTGTGTATATGTGTGTGTGCGTATATGTGTGTATGTGAATATGTATAAACACAGTTGTTATGCATTAGATATTTCACATATATATGACGACACTCCATATCTTCTAATATAATGACTCCTTCTTTGCATCTTCTCCCTCTTCTCTTCCATACGTTGTCTTTCTTTCAAAGTCAACAGGTGTGTAGAATAAAAAAAGAATGTTTCCCCATTCTTCCCTCTGCCTGTCGCTGTCTCTCTCTCTCTGAGAGTGTGGACTCTTTTTTATGCCTCTGTTCTCTTTCTTCTGTTTTTTGTTGCTGTATGATTGCGCAATTGCTGTGTATACATGTTTACCATCGATGCTTGTATTTTCAATATCGGCGTACTAATATATAAGTGAAGAAAGAGGAGGCAGGAGAAGGAGGAGCTTTATTAGAACGCTTCTAGGATAGATAGATAGATGAATAAAGAAGGCTTTCAAAAGAGTCGGTCGTTCCCCTAACTGTCTTTGTTTCTCTGTCTGTATGTTTTGTATGTTACCCTTTGACTTGACAGTTCTCATTCATTATTATTATTATTACTTCTATTGTTACCAACAGTGTTATTACTATTATTATCGATCAAAGTGTAAAAATGGTGGACTAATCAGCTGATTATCAATGAGTTTTATATACTATCGCTCTGCTACAACAACAACAACCACTACTACTTATTTCGTATTATAGTAGACGCAACAGTTGACTAATGCATTGATCAATATATTTATACTGTATAACGGAGAAATAAGCCTATGATCTGTGTGATTTTTTAAAATTCCTAATGTAGACATGCTGATGATGATGTGTAGAATTTCCAATATCTATCTATCTATCTATATATATATATATATATACATACAATATTTTTGGTGTGTTTTTGTCTCCCTGTATTTCCCCCCCCCCGCACACTCGCTGTCTCTCCCTTGCCTCTTCTCTATTCTCAGTCAATAAATAATATTGTAGAAAAAGTGTAGCGTGCATTTTACATTTTTACAAGACGTTTTATTTTTTGTTCATTTTTGTTCCGTGTTTTGTTTTTTTGTTTGTTTTTTAGAATATTTAATTATTTTTGAGTTTTTTCCCAACATACAAATATGTAGATGTTTAAACATACATACATACTTACACACACACACACACACACGGAAAAAGCAACTCTTCTTTTATGGAGCTAACTAATTAACTAACTAACTAAACATTGTTAGTTCCATCTGTCGATCTTCCACACAAAACATATACTACACACACACACATGTCCATCGATGAAAAGCATACAACTATCTTTTTATTCACATGACGTTATTTCTCTTCTCCTCTGATTCCTCTTCACTACTACTGTTGGCATTCATGCCAATCAATGTCACGTTATTATTACTATTATTATTATTATCATCATCATCATTATCCTTATATTATGAAGGCAAAATCAATCCTGAAAACATTTATTATTATGTATTGACAATAATCATAATAACAATAATAATAATAATTAATTCCCCTTTTGTTTTTCCTACGTATATATTAATGCAGCTAATCAATAATACATACATACACTCACACATGCAAATACACATTTCTATATATAAATGCATATATATACATCAACAGACGTGCATGTATGTATGCATTGGAGTGAATGTGTGTATATAATGCGTTCACGCACACACATACACACGTGAACATTTATTTCCAAGGTCAAAGAAATATAAGAATATGTTTTTATCAATTCTGATTCACTGTTTATTTTTTTCTTTTTAAATTTGTTCTTATGACCTTGAGGAGGGATTTAGGGATGATAATAATAATAATGATAATAGTAATAGTTGCTTATATCGTGATTTTGGATTATCTATCTGTCAAGGTAATTTAGTTAATCTTAATGTAAATTTCACTATGGGATATGCGTAGAATACTAATTGTAACATATATTAATTTCAGGATTTCATCATGAGCTGACATTAGTTAGAGAACCATTGGAAAACCTGGGAGTACTGGACAGCTGTTTCGACTTAGTTTGGGACTCTTCAGCAGTACGCACCCACCGGGATTCGAACCAAGGACCTTCCGGTTACAAGGCGAGCTCGTATACCATTAAGCCACTGGGAGCCAATCCAATGGTCCTTGAATTCTAACTTCTGCCAATTCACGACATAGCGCGACCGCTAGCCAATGTCTTCGGCGAGTATTTGTCCTCACACGCGACCAGCTGCACCCTACTGGTCACAACTTCCCACTGGAACCCTGGTAACTGCCTACCTGAATAGGGCCAGTCGCCAGTGAGCATCTCATTGGTATTCAAGTGTTGGTTTGTAGGGATTTGATTGGTTTCAGGATTTCATCATGAGCTGACATTAGTTGAAGAGTCCCAAACTAGGACGAAACAGCTGTCCAGTACTCCCAGGTTTTCCAATGGTTCTCTTACTAATGTCAGCTCATGATGAAATCCTGAAACCAATCAAATCCCTACAAACCAACACTTGAATATATTAATTTATTAAAAAGACGGTTGCAGAGAAGAAAAATTTTTCGTTCCGACAATGTCATCAACTAAGCTGTACATTCGTTTATTTATATCAATTGTGTGTGTGTGTGTGTTCCGAACCCTTTACCCATTTCGTTAATACCCGTAAGTATACAAACTGACGAGTTTCCGAGTTATTATAATCCTACTTTGTTTTTTCTACCCGATTTCCCCTGATTATTACACGTTAGAATTTTTATTTTGACCTTTGGCCTAAAATATTTCTAGAATAGTACTGTAACAACAGAAGACAAAGGCCAGGCAACACATCGTTTATTAAGGAAATCAACGCATATTTTTAGATTTTCATGTACATTATTATAGGTTATTGTTAGTAGACAAACACAGTCTTCTGATTGGTTGTTTCTCACTGAAAATTAATCTTTCATCTCTTTGTGGCTGTTTTTTTTGAATGTCAGATCATCTATATGCTAACTGTTCTCATTTTTCTCACGACCAATATTAGGAAGGTAAACATTGACGTAAATTACTGTCTACCAATTTGGCTAGCAGCCAGCTCTCACCACAGTACCACTACCAATCTTCTGTTTATTACACTTAGTAATTTTATTAATCAAATCTCTGATGGGAAATAATTCTGGAACTTTCCCACACATTTCACATAAATACACGAATGTACAGCCTAGTTGATGACTTCGTTGAAAAGAAAATTTTCCTCACTGCAACCGTCATTTTTTAATAATTCCTATAATCCAATGAATCTGTTAATTAGATAATATGCGAAACAGTTGTAGGGATACAGTTTACAAAGGCAAAATATCACTTATAAAAGTATGTTCGATAGATTTTGTTGACCACCTCACCTGTCAGTCAATGCTGAGAATGATGCGCAAATCAAAGTATATGAGTGATAATATATTCAGTCACTCTGGAATATAACTACAAAAAGAAGATTAATATTCTATGTAAAACGCTGACATCGTATTACTACGTAATTCATGAATAATCTCCATTTAGACATAAATGAAAACTATACAAGTAGTTTAACGAAGAGTCTCTTTCGGGCGGGGAATTCATTCACTTTGCTGTACAATCGCAATTAAATATATACTTATTTTTGTATGTATGTGTGGATGCATTGGGTTTATCCGATAAGAACAAAATGACCGAAGGCTGCTACCTTGACGTGGTGATCGGGCTTGAACACCGCAATGACCTATTCAAGCTATACTGGCTGAGACTTGTCTCTTGAGGTCCTACCATGCCAGGCAGGTTGTTTGGATAGCGGTTAAACAAAAAGCAGCTACTCAATGCAACATAATAATACATAGAAAATCACAAAATTTCATGCCGG